TCTCACTGAGATGCTCATCGAAGAACATAAGGCCACACATAACCTGATGTCTCATACATTAACTCATTTGAATCTTTCTCAGTGATGGTTGCCTACAACTAAAAAAGATGTCAAAACCTCAAATGAAGCTGAGTTTTAAAGCATTATTGATGAGTTTTCAAAACAGGCTACATATAAAGAGTTACAAGTAAAGTGAGGACCTGTCCTGGATGGCCAGCCTGGGTTTTCAGGTATGTGGCCACATTAACACGACATGCCCAGTGCCATCATCTGCCAGCATGTTGCACATTTTACTCACGTTTGCCTCCATTCAGAGAGAATGAAACTACATACATAGCAACAACCCACAACGAAGTTACATACTGCCACGATTGGTGAAGATACCTACAATTATTAAGGTATAAGAACAAATCTGTATATGCATACTGGAATGACCACGATGAAGGCGGATGGTAGCGAATTGGAAAGAGCAGTACTCTTCCGCTCTATCAATCTTCTGCTTCTCTTCCAGAAGAGAACAGATAAGCAGACGAACGGCTTCGGCACGATTGAGTGGTGTCGTGGTGATGAGGGCGCCGCGTGGTTGGCAGGAGACGCATAGAGATGACGGTGGCTTTTGATTTCGCCTCACGCGTTCGCCGTGGCTACCGCGCGAAGCGCAAAAACAGGTCGAAGACGGTGGAGGCGATCCCTGCGGGAAGTGAGGCGGTGGGGCTGGGCCGGCGCGGCGGCTCGGGGCGGTGGGTCTCCGGTCTCCCCGCGTGGCGTCGGGTCCGTGGCAAGCAGGCGGCGTCCCATGCGTCTTCGTACGGCGGCGGCGCGCCTCACCGGCCTCGCCTCTGCTGGTCGCGAGCGCTGTGCAGCCGCCCCTCGTGCCGTCTCGGACGAGCCCGTCGTCGCCCTTCTACAGCTCGCAGTGCACCTCCGCCGGCCGGAGCCCCCCCGCGTGGGATTGGGAATCTAAGAAGTCACGGTCACGGGGAGGCGGAGGAGTCGCGGTGCTGGCGGCGGAGCCGCTCGCGCTTCCGCCCGTCGGTGCCGCACTACACGATGGCGCCATGCCGTGCACGATGGTGGAACACGTGCGCCGGCCGCCGGACACCGGAGATGGATCATCGACGCGCGATGGTGGCCCAGTGCCGTGCCCCTCGTGGTCGTCGTTCCCTCTGCAGTGTGACGTCTCCTTCGTGGTCGCCGCTTCCTGTGCCGTCGGCCTAGGATTCAAATGATCATGGACGGGGGCAACCGAAATCAACGCGAGCCTGACCTGTAGGCACATGCGCGTGGGAGGTCCGCAGGAGGGCGATGGAGGGTAGACACACTAAACATGAGCCGTCGGATTTGGATGAGTAATGAGAGAGAATGGCTAAGAGATAATCTGGTGTATCCGTTTTGATAGTGTTATATTTTCTGAGTGCATTCATGGGTGTGGATGTAGCATAGATCATGACTGTGGAGCAGGCATTTGTTTTGTGACTGTAGATTTATTCTAACGGGTGTATTATAGGGGTGGTAGATATGTGCAATTAGTTTTGTAGTTAGTCTACGTTTAATACTCCAAATTAGTGTCAAATATCCGATGTGACAAAGACTAAATTTTAGAAGTCTATGCTTAATACTCCAAATTAGTATGAAACATCCAATGTCACATAGACTAAACTTTAGGAAGTGTGTAGCCAAATGATTGCTGCTCCATTTCTCCGGAGAATAACCAGGATGATGGAGACACATGTCTCACTAGGGAGCAACGGCTGGTGAGAACATGGATTAGCTTTATTTTCAGGATGGGCTTATAAAAAAAAAACTTTTCATGGATGGTCCTATGAGAATGTGAGCAGATAAAATAGCAGGGTCTGATCTTTTAAAAAGCAGGGTCGGAACTGCGTGCAGAGGACGCGGTGCAGGACGATGCAAAGAACGGCTCTATATTTCAGTGTAGAGTATAGCTAGATACCCCTCCACCCCCCATGTGAGGTGCTGTTGGAGGTGGAGGGAGCCAGCATGCATGGTGCATGGGTTGGTTTGGTTGGTGCGTAGCAAGTGCGAGCTACCAGTGGTTCACTAATCCCTCTCACTCTCACCTAGCTTAGCTAGGATAATAGGGCAGCCTCCCTCAATGATCGGCTGAATGCATATGGTTTGGTTGGTCAACTGGACCGAGCTCCAACTAACCGAAAATGGCGGCGTGCGTGTACGTGTTGGAAGGAAACGCAGTTGCAATCATGCATGATCAGATAGATTCCCATTATTGGTCTATCATCCAATCCAAGGTCGCGAATCTAAGTGCAAGACGAAAAGCACGTGTGTTTGCATCAACTTCATGCAGGAATTCTGATGCAATACAGCGGCTGATGTGCAGTGTAGTTGTAGGCGTCCAATTTCGGGTGTCTAGAACGGAGGGAGATCTCTGTCCGGCGGCTGTGCTGGCTGCTGCTGCTGCCTGATGAGAGGCCGGAAACCAAACACGCTCGTGGAGACAGCAGACTGTCCGATCGACATCGATCGCAGCCTGGTGATCCGATGTCATGTCAATCCCCGCCTCCGCGCGCGACGTCGCACGTTTACCACGCTGACAGCCAGCTCAAGCAGCGTGCTGTTGCATCGTCGCCATGCGTGACGTGGGGGCGTTGATTTTGATAGATAATAGAATGGTGCACCAGTGTTTGTCGCTAGCAGGCAGGCACGCCCGGCCTGTCGTGTGCCAGTGCCACGCCCACGCGCTGCGATTCAAGCATCGAACCGCCGCCGATGACGTCCAAATCGCACAGCAGTGGAACCCGCTCCGCTCCGCGCCCGACGTCGGCAGCGCTGCGACGGGATGTGCTGGGCGGTTCCTGCTTCCTACGATCCTACCACTAGCACTACCTACGTCACAGCGGCAGCGTGCTCAAGTGGGCAGGCAACCAGCGACGCGGTGGTGGAATTTACACAAGGACGGCCACGCCACGCACGCGCGGACGCCGTCGCCGTCGCCGTCGCCGTCGCCATCGCCGTCCCGCGCGCGTGGTCAGCTCTGGTCAGAGCACGCTTTGTCCGGCCGCTTCGTTCCGGTTTCTGTTTCAGCTGCATGCGCGGTCGTGGCGGTGGCACGGCTATGCACCGGGAGGCGGCCGGCGACGGCGAGCCGACATCCTCCGGTCAACGAATTAAGTCCGGGCTGACCGGCCTGCCGGCACGACCGGACGTCGCACGCCACACTGAATCAAGTCTGACACGACGTTTCAGAATTCAGAGCACAGCACAGCACGCGCGCTCTTGGTTGTATGGTCCTCGATGGATGGATGATAGCAGGTCGGGAGCTGGTGAGAAATTGCTCTAACGGCTTTCAAAAAAACAAAACCAGATTGGGAGAGTCAGTCAGAAAAAGAAAAACGATATCAGGAACTGAACAAAACCGATGGATGGAACTCATCCGTGGGAAAGCAGTAGCTCCAAGCGATAACACCAACCAACATTGAGGACTTCAAATCTTCAGTGCTGTGCAACGGATATACAGATGTAACGTTACAAACTTACAATCATGGGTTTTTACATACTTTCTGTTTTCCAGCGGCAGATCCGACTTTCAGAGACCAGCACAGACACAGCACGGCATTTTTTTTTGTTGAGACAGAGAAAGAGAAAGAAACAGAGCATCGAGCTACCCGTAGCCGTGAGCAAATTTACCTGCTTATATACAGCTTAAAACACTACTATCTACTGCTCAGCACTCACAACCTCGGTCATAGATAATAAGAAACTCCAAAATGAGAAAGGAAGCGTCACAGTTGTCCTATCCTGAATCCCTGATGATTGATGAAGAAGGTGCCTGTTGTTGCCGACCCTCCGTCAGGGATGATGAGCATGAGCATGTACTACGACAAGACAGCGGCCGTTGACTGTACAGCGGCTTGTCGAGCAGCCGGGTGCGTCGATGCTGAGAGTGGCCGAGAGCGGCGATTGGGCCTCTTCTCAGTGTGGGCTCAATCTGAGGTTGGAAATTCCACCTTGGGATGGTTTGCCACACTATTTGGGGTCTTGGAATGATTCTCAAAAAAAAAAAAAAAAAAAAGGGGTGTTGGGGCTTGGCGCTCGTCGTGGTGACCAAACCTGCTTGGACTTCGACTTCGTCTGGCGGAACTCCGCCCCGCCCCGCGTCAAGTTTTTCGGCTTGGTTCTGACCAAGGATCGCATACAATGCAAAACGGCCCTGTGCCGCAAGAACATTCTGCAGGACGCGATCTGCGACATCTGCGGAGGTGCTGAAGAAAATGGTGACCACATCATCTCAGGGTGCTCGTTCGCCAAATGCTTCTGGAGGCGCATCGGCTGGCAACCAAACTCAATCGCGCCCGTCATTGAACTCTGGAAGTCGTCTCCACCACCTCACGTTCCACCTTCGACGGTGAGCCCCATGATCCTACTCTGCTGCTGGGAGCTATAGAAGCACCGACACGATGTCGTATTCCGCAACCTCCCCCCTGACTAGAACAGGCTGGTGGCTGCTTGCAAGGAATCAGCCAGGGCTTGGAGCTGCCGTCGACCCCTTAAGGACACTGTACTCGAGCTTTTGGAGTTCATCATGAACATGTAATCCCTACTCCCCCATTCTCCAAACCTTACTGTAAAATTGGATCGGCGCCAATGCCCTTCCGCCCACCGGCTTGTCCGGCATATGTGGAATGAAAGATTCAGGTGGGGAGGACTTCTCCCATGTTGACCTCAAATTTTTTTTTTGAGGTCTTGGAATGGAACTACCCCAACCGCCCAACGACACAACCCAACAAAAAGCCTGCCTATGAGAACTATGGAAGGACAAGTAGCACACCGTCGTCCGGCCCAAGCCCAGATCGGCCCACCACTATAAACCCGCCAGCCTCCTCTCCTCTCGGCTCTCGCTCTCGCACCCGCAGCAGCACCAGTCTTTGGCCACCTGGCTGGGCTGGTTCCCCTTCCACCCTGGGATTTCTCTCTCCCGCCTCCCTCGCTAGGGTTTAGGGTTCTACAGCCAGCAAGCCACCATGATGCACCACCACCTCTCGCGCCTCCTCACCCGCCGCCTCCCGCTCCCCGTCGCCGCCTCCTCTCCCTACGCCGCGGCGCTCTCCACGCCCCCCAGGCGCGCCTACGCCCGCCGCGCCAAACCGCCGCCAGCGGCGGACACCGGCGACCACGCTGCCGCCGCCTCCCATGCGGCAGCGGCTGGCTCGGAGGCGAAGGCCACGTGGCAGACGGAGAAGCTCCGGGGCGAGCTGCCGCGGCCGCCGACCATCCCGTTCCAGCCGCGCGTCGCTAACGCCGTGCACCTCGTCGGCACCGTCTGCGCGCCCGTGCACGTGCAGCAACTGCCCGACGGCCGATTCTCCGCGGTCTCCGTGCTCGTGCACGACCACGGCATGAACTTGCCCAAGTTCTGGTGAGACGGCTGCTTGATTTCCCTTGCTGCCTTTTCTTCTGTACTACGATCACTTTGTACGATACCATAATGATTGCTGTTGGAAGGACGGTTTTCATGTTAGGATATGTTGAGGAGTGGGATTGCTCCCAAATATTGCAGGTTTTGTTCTTTGTTGTGCCCAAACGACTAACTAAATTATTGTTGACTTGTTATCTGTTAAAAAAAAAATATTACTGTGAACCAAATTTTGGACCTGCTTGATTGCCGCATATCGTTATCCCTCATCTTATGCTGCAAAATTAGACATAATATTCCTTTGCATTTAGTTATCGATAATTTATAACCATTGTTTGAGCGCGGTAGTCTAAACACCAGAAGTATCTGTAGTCTAAAATGTACTGAGGACCACCACAAGTATCTCTTTTGTTGTTTCTGGAGTAGTTTCACTAATCTTACTTTTTGACATGTCTGTTTTCATTTTTCATGCCCATTTGAATATTCTGATGTCCAAGTTGTTTTACCTTCAGGGTTCCCATAGTTTTCAAAGATGACTTGGCACAAGTAGCCGCTTCTCATTTGAAAGAAAATGACCTTGTTTCTGTGTCTGGGAAATTAACTTGTGATTCTCCACCATTCAAGCTTGCTGATGGCGAAGCAAACATTCAGGCATGTAGCTATTACTCATATTTATTTTCGTTCTGTTCTTTGTGAATTTCATGGGGGTAGGCAGATGCCTCATGTGTTCAGTGCAAATCTACTTCGCCCTACATTTAGTATCTGACACCCATTTTGCTTTGGAAAAATGTCCAAAATCTCCCCAAACTTTGACCTGTGTACCCCCCTAAGCTACCTGTCTACCTTTTTGTTCGATTTACTCCCCAACTATTTCAGTTGTTCCAATCTACCCCTTAATAAGTGTTATGGTGGGCAAGGTGTACCATCGGCGGGATAAGCCAGGCGACAAGGCAAGTGGCTAAGGCCACGCCAAGGAGCCGGCTGGGCCGCGGTCACCACCCTTTGGCAGAAGGAGTTAGGCATATGAGTCTATTGTCGTTAAGTTGTTAGCATATCTAGAGTCAGTTAGTCAGTTGATTTATTCCCTAAAGATTAGGAAGTTGGTTATTGAGTCTTGTATAAGTTAAACATTTTGCTTCTAATACGTTTCAGCCTGGGATTGAGACTTAAGTCTCCCTTGGGCACCTGGCCCTTACTTCCTGCTCACCGTCATCTTATTGTCGTTAGCCACAACCCTAGGCGCCGAGCACGGCGCCGCCTGTCGACGAAATATGGTCGGCAGTCCACCGAGGGGGGTGCCCGTGGTGGTAGATTATCGGTAGACGGTGCGTGTAATAAGGAACCAGATGGTGACACAAGGCGCAGAGACAACGATTTAGACAGGTTCGGGCCGTCTGGTCGACGTAATACCCTACGTCCTGTGTCTTTGGTGTATTGTATTGAGATTTATACAGATTCACCTCCCCTCTAGGGGACCCTTGTCTCTCCTTATATACTACGAAGAGACAAGGTTACAAGTAAAGTATCCAATTTGGTACTATTACAATATCTAGTACAACTTGTAATCTTGATGTACATGCCTTGATCTTACGGGCCGGGCCACCTCGGATGGTGCGGCCCATGTACCATCTTGTGGTACCCGGGGGTATATCCCCCACACCGCCCGTTCGTCGTCGCGTGTTCAAGCCCAGGCCTCCAGTCCATCACCAGTACTACCTCAGGAGCGCTATCCCCAACAATAAGATTTGTCTTTTTTGTTTCTCCATGTACCAGTTGAGCTTTAAGTTAGTTTTTTTTTTGAAATGAAAACGGACATCATAAGCTGTTTTAAAAACTACAGTAAGATTCTTCAATAATTTTTTCGTACAATTTTATATATCTAGGGTTAATTTGTTATTATATGTCCTAAACTATCAAAATAACTATGAAAAAATTATAATGTATTTTTAACATAATGTATGATGTTTGCTATCATGTCACAAAATTTTAACTTAAGGGCCTGATTGGTTCGCTTCCAAAATTTGTCACAAAACTCAGCTTGTACATGGGGAAACAGAAGTGGCAAATCTTATTAAGTGGTAAATTGGACCAAGTCAAACAGGGGAGTAAATTGAACAAAAAAAATAGTTTATGGGATTATCTGGATCTCCCCCCCCCAATCGCCTTTTTTTTTTTTTTTTGGGGGAAGATAATTTGGACCTTTTCCTTTGCTTTTGCACTTTGCAATAAAAAAATATTGAACAATTTTTACTCTTACTCTTCTCACATGTCTGTGTAGTAATGGCCTTTCTTATAATTCTTATTTTAAATGAATGAACGAAGTCGACTGCAAAACTGATTAAATATTAATCTGTTCTAGTTGTTAGCAAATTCGCTGCAGTTTGTTGATAGTAAAGCTGTTGAAACGGATGCCATACTGGATGAAGATGAAGGATTTTTGGAGATTGTTGAGTCTGAAAAGAAAGTTGAAGCAAAAAAACCCACCTCTAAATTTTCGCCTGGCACATCAGGTAACGTCTCTCTCTCTCTCTCTCTCTATATATATATCTATCTTTCTCTGTGTGTGTGTGTCTCAACTGTTCCCACTTGCCTTCCCCAAACCCTGCTCAGGTATGTCTTGAGTTCATTTTGTTTATGTCCTCCCAAGACTGCATCTAACAGGAAGCTTCAACTTGATAAAACTGACCTATTTCTAACACTTGACTGTGTTTGATGAATTCTTTGCTGCGATGTTTCTTTGTCATCAGTGATGGGAAATAATAACGATCAATATCTTTTGCACACCTTTGTTGGTATGCATAAGTCTGATTAGTGTATAATTCATCAGATTGATTGCTGAATGCTGATCCTGATTAGCAAATTTGCCAATGTATCATGTTCCCCTTGCTCCAATAACTTTGCAAACTGGTCAGGACTGTTGGAATTATCTTGATGCCTCAAGTAATGAATATGAAAGCAACATAAGGAACCTCTATGGCTATACTTTTACTGCACTTTTGATGTTTTGAGTTGTTCATTAGAACTGATTTACTCAGAGCACCTTTTGCGAATATATGTACATATAGGCTAGTGTATTGTATTACACATAGCCTAGCGTGTCTATAAAACCATGATTTTTGGATGTCCTGTATGTTGGTTGCACTTGACAAGTACATTTGAGGGTTATGTACCTTCATTAGGGCCTTGTTTGTTCAAATTCGAACTAATAAACTAAAAATAAAAGTCCCAGAGAGGTATTACCTCATGCAAATACAACTAAAAAATGTTTGTAGAGGCATCAGCAGAAGCATTGTGCCTCCCAAATAGTTTTTTAATATCTAGTTTGTATAATTTTTTGATTTGATAAAATACACTAGCGGTTCTTAAATATGTCCCATGGTATAATAATATAGGTCCCTAATTTCTTAAAGTGCACAGCCGGGTCCCTAAATTTGTTAAATGTGCCACTCGATGTTATAATTACCCTAATCAGCATAAACTTGCCTATATGGTATGAAAAATGGCTCCTGACATGTAGTGACATGACAGCAGCAATGACCATGATCCTGTGGTCAAGCATGGGGACCATTTGGTCACAAGCTAAAGTGTGAAGTGCCACATATGTAAATGTTTGCTAAATAGTGTGATTAGGATCTCAATTTACACACTTAAGTAAGTTTAGGGAGCTATATATATGCATTTTAGGAGTACAAGGACCTAGACCACACAGTGGGCATGGGACAAGTTTAAGGACCTCCTGTAGAGAATTAGGGGAACACCGAACACCTCACCCATTAGGGAGGGGTGACTTTCATATATATAGCCAGGATACTACTTGGAGTACAAGTATGGTACATACATATATCTGGACTATACATATCTCTAATACCTCCTATGCACTTTCCTCAGTTGATTTCAATTGTGAATTACACATAACACCTGCAGTTTCTGATGATGGAATGATGTTGGAAACTCAGGTTATAGCAACAAGGCGGATAAGTTTAATAAACTCTGGAATGATGTTATATCTCGACCACAAGATTGGATTGATAACCGGCCTCTGAAGAAAACTGGTTCGGTGAGTATGCTACTTATTCATAGAATGATTCCCCTTCAAAGAAATACAGCTTGCAAGCTGTACTGACTTTTATAAATGCAGAGGAGTGCAAAGTTTCCTGATTTTAAGAACAAGGTTTCAGATGAGGCACTCTGGCTTAACACTGCACCAACATCAGTTCTTGAAAAATTGGATGATTTGGTGTTCGGTAGTGGTTATGCCACAGAAAGAAAAAATAAACCTTTTGGTAATGATACCCTAAAAGGTAAAATTTAACCCTTCCTTTGTTTATTTTCGTTTTTGGGTACTAATAGAATTCGCAGGTACGGGTACAAACTGGATGAAGCCTAGGAAGAGCCCAGATGCATCTGCTGCGTCAAAACAAAAACTTGAAGGTAGTACAAAGACTTTTCTTTGTTACCTGCTAGTACATGATGTTTAAAAAAGGGCGTACCCAGTGCAGAGAGCTCCCGCGCTGTGCGAGGTCTGGGGAAGTACATGATGTTTGATTGTACAAAATCAATCTTGAGACAATGTGTACTGCTTTATTAACTCTGCGAGTTTGGTGTATTCTTGTTTTGCTATTTTCCCCGGTGCATTAGCCAGACAGCATCCTAATTAGTTAGTTTACATATGGTTGTGTTGCATGTTGATGTGTATATCATTGCATGCACTTTGCCTCAATCATCCGATTTGACAAATTCACTTGCTTGAGTAATTCTGGCTACCTTTTTTTAACCAAAGCCTTCTTTTTTTTCCTGGAACAAAAATAGGTAGTTTGAGACGCCAGACATCTGACTTGTTTTAATGATGACACGTTTTGCTTTCAGAGGACCTGTGGCGAGATCTTGTGGACAATTCAGCAAACTGGTGGGACAACCGAGCAGACAAGGTTCATATAAAGGAAAAACACATCTTAACTAGTCTCATGTTCCTAGATTTGTGCTAAACATTGCAATTGTCTTGTTTGACGTGCAGCCGACACTGAAGCATCCTGATTTCAGGAACAGTAATTCAGGGCAAGGTCTATGGATAGGAGCCAAATCACCCCGATGGGCTATAGATGCACTGCCATCCTTGAAATTTAAGGGAGGTAGCAAGGATACAAGGAAAGAAACCTTGCTGTCATGATTCGATATGAGCTTGGCGGCAATGGTAAGCCCTTGTGCTATACGCTGAGCTCTCTGCCTCTCTTACTAATTATATTGGTGCTGTCTGTGTAAAGGCGAGCGGCAATATACGGTAACACCTGATTGAGGTAGAGTACTAGACAAATTTCAGGTTGGGCAATTTTGAGACTTGTCAGGATGCAGGATGTAAATAGTTTCCAAATTGATGCTTATTATTATATATATCGTCACATCCTGTAGGCTTAATTCGATGCCCTTTTGAATCCCCACGTTTTCCCTGTTGTACTGTTTGCTGTTTGATGAATGGGTTGTTCGCTATTTCTGGGGCCTGGTAGCCCCCGTTCTGCCGAATGCATTGGTAGATTGTGTGATGGCTCCACAGGCCCATGATAAGCACGTGAGAGTGGGATGGGCCATAGCCCATATGATTGTAATTTGATCCTTTGGGCCATAGCCCATATTATTATTATTTTTAAACTTTGCCTAAACCCTTTGAGAGGCAAACTGATACACTGAGCTATTTTTGCAGACAAACAATTCAAAAGGCCTGAACCGAACTAGTGTCTTCTCTTTGCCTCTTCAGCCTGTGCGACTGTTCCCCAATCACGATAATTTTTTCCGCGCACAACATTGCGTCGGTGCTAAGAATCATGAATGGCATTATCACCAGAAATGATTGGGCACTAGGTGACGACTCCCGTGACTGTTTGTCCAAACTCCCTGATCAGGAAGATCTTGTGTATCCTTAGATGCTTGCCTGTGATGATGCCTTTGAAAGTTGTACCCGAGGCAGAGTCCATGATGGCCGTTTGTTTCTACTGCCTGTAACATGGCCGGGATGAGACGTCAATTTCCATCCGAGACAAAAGCACGGCACCTTTCAAGTGCAACCATCACTTATTGGTGTGGAAACGTCTTATCTCCTGAGATGACCCGATATTCCCAGGGCAATCACACCAAGAAAGAGGGAACCCCAGGCCAAAGATACGTGTAGGGTGTAGTAGATCAGTACTCCCTCCGTCCCGCTGTGTCGTCGTTCATTCGTAAGAATTGCGTTTTTTTTCTGGACCGAGGGAGTAGATGCTACCATTCCCTAGCTGAGCTGAGAGAGTATGCTGCCTAAAAAGACGAGACAGGAAATGCAGCCCGCTCCAATGCTTTTGCAAGGCCTTTTGGGGCCCCGGCCGCCCCCTCCACTCGCACAACAACAGGCTGTCTTCCCTTCCCTGAGTGCTGCCGTTGACGCAACCCAAGCCAAGGCCGTCTTCCTCCAATCCCTACCTCCCATCATGGCTCATCACCTCTCATTTCATCAAAAGATGACGGCCCCCAAATGCCTACGTCTCTGCTTCCCTTTCGTCCCTTAAATGTCCTTCTCGCATCGCCGCACATAGTGTTCCTCGTGGTTCTGCTTTCTATCTCCCTTTTTCGAGGATTGTTCCATGTCTAATCCATATCTCTGATCGGTGGTGATAGATATAGATGTTATGTTCTTTGATGGGAAGAAAAGGTGCTGAATTGGCGCTGAGCTTTATTCGCGCATAAGTACCTTCCTTTCACAAGTGTTGTTGGTACATTACAAGATGGTCCTATTTAAGTTCCGGTCTTGGCTTCTTTCAAACACCGCACTGTTCTGTTCCAACATTACAATGTTCAGCCTAAGACTGAGATCATAATGCAACCATGATGAGAGAACACATTCAACACATGTATAGTATCCTAATAGAGCATGGCTAATAATGATTTAGTCGGTTGCTAGGAGTATATGCTAGTGCAATGTCACCTATATATGATCGAGATAACAGTCCACCTATATAGTGGTTAGATCTTAATACATATCACACCATGTCACCATTAATATGGCCCACCTTATTCTCTTGTAAAATTGCTTAGAGCTTGTGCCTCAGCTCTGTATGCACAAATCTGATTTTTGAACTAATGCAACCTGCTCATATCTTATTATTATACTTGTTCTAAGAGGGTCAGAAATTTGATGTTAGCTAGTGCGTTGCACTCCTTCCTTTCCAAATTTCCAAATTGCAAGACGTTTTTGCTTTTCAAGATAAATTATTTTTATAAAATATGTAGACATAGTGTATGTCTAAGCGTATAGCAAAATTAATGCATCTATGAAAACCAAAATGTCTTATAATTTGAAATGAAAGGTGTAGGTTGTTAGGGTTTGTGTTGGTACTGAATGGGAGGAGGCTTGGTTTACACCCTCCTAGACAAGTTGACCCTAGACATTGTGTATCCAACCGAAATCGGACGTGTGGGAGCGCACAATCGATGTGGCTTGCCATAGAGTTGAACCAACATGCCCTGAATGTCCGGTCGTCATCCTACGTTGTTTATAGGGTAGAGAGAAAGAGATTGGAGTACTTTTTCGTGGAGCTGAGGTTTGTGGATCTCTAGCGTCCCTTCTACCGATCCCATCACGACGTCGTCTCGACCACGAGCAGGAGTATTATGGGAATGGGAAAGAGACCTCCAGTAATTCTCTGGCAGCGCAACCGAGGGAGTTGATGATATCTAGGCTTCCGTCAATGAAGCCCATCATATGGGGCGTGATTGGTTCACGTCTCAGCCCAACCTGGCCCGCACCAACCTTGCCAGGCCATACTTGGCCAGGCTCAGTGCATGCAACAACATATTGTTTGGTAGCCTGTGTCACTACAACCTAGCCATGTAGGGATAGTGTTTGGTTGATAACATGCACCAGCATCCTTGCGTACACATACAGCCTTGTTTGTTTGGTTTCTTTGCATACATGTGAGGTTCGATTACCTCCTGGTTTGGATGGTGAGCATACCTCATACAACATTCTTACAGGCAACATGGACCAATAATTTTTACAGCAACTTAAAAATTAAAAGCACAATGATTAATGCCAGCACTTAGATAATGGCATTCTTAACACTAAATGGAGACTTGTTTGCCTACAATGTACAATGTCACGCTACATCTCTCTTCTTCTTCTTCTTCTTCAGAACTCCATATGCTGGTTGCACCTCTTGTTCTTCAAGGAGTCCATAATAAGCGACATCGCCTCCTCCTTGGTCCTGTATTTCTTGCAAGATCCACCTCAGTAGCTATCAACTTGAGCGTGGGCTAAACCCCAGCTAGAGAAGACCCAGTTTGTTGTCCAACATGAACCACATACCAAACCATGGCTGCTTATTATGACAAGAATCATTAATTTGTTGTGCAATCCAAAAAGTACTAACAATGATGGTGAAAGAAATGAAATTGTACATAGTATTATTCAAATGAACTAAAATGTTGAAGATAACATACAGACAGCATGTCAAAAACTGTTGTTGGCCTCAGAAAAAATTACTATCATCATTTGATAATGGTGTTGGAGCATAAGGGTAGAAAGATTCTTACAATAATAAAATACTGGCAGGAACTAAAGTGTTAAATATAACATACAACAAGCACGTAAGAAATTCTTGGTGCCCAGTACCTCACAACACCAATATCATCAGTTGTTTCCCCTCATAAGTCATGTATATGGGAAATTTATCATCATAGGCAAAACATGGAAATACAAATAGGCAACTCATGAAATATGTTGTCCTCACAGGCAAAACCTCCATACAAAAAGGCAACTCATCAAAGAGATGGTCATCAATGGAAAAAATTCGATAGAAATAATTGCCAACTGATGACACAGATTTTCATCACAGGCACAAATAGGCAATGACAGTGGCAACAGCAAGTTGAATATTAAAGAGATGGCAGTCCTCACAAGAACATAGAAGGGACTAATATTTAATGCAGTACATAATAATTAGCTGATTGATCCATGAAACCATCAATCCAGTCTCTGATGGTTAGGCTTAGGTGGGGCAAACAGCCAGCCACATGATCTAGAGGGGCCTAGACTACACCTCAAGGGTATCACCTATCTACGCAGGTTAGATGGTGGCCACACTATATTACAGCAAAAGTTAGTGTTTTCCATCCTCACTACTTCACCACATCCCTGCACAATTGTAGGTCAAAAGTCACTGCACAAAAGACATCTATCACTGCACAAAAGCTGGATCAATGCAGTAGTGATGGCAACTTCACTGGCTGGTGTAGTAGTGCCTGGTGAGGAAAGTCCTCAGCCAGAGCACACGATGCTCCTCAGTCATCCCCACATATGTAGTCCCCAGGGCCTTGTTGTCCAGTAGATGAGAGAAAGCAACTAGGAGAGCCTCAGCAGTGAAACCTGGCATGTACATCACTGCACCATAAAGGTCAGGATGGACCTCCTCAGCTTTGGTCTCACGAATGGCAGTAGCAACGTTGTCAACGGCAGCTATCATGTGGGTCATGTTGGTAAGCAAGATGGACTACACATCAGTAAGCTCCGCCCTCTTCCTCTTGTTACCAACACCCACACTTGACTCTCCCTAGACCTTGTTCACCTCCTCTGCATCCTTGTGTGGTGCCTCAGCATCAAGTGGCTCAGCCTTCATTGAGCTATCAGCAAAGTCAGAAGCACAACCTAAGGCCTCACTTGAGTCCATTGCATACTTCCCTATGGCCATACCACTACCAAAGATTGTCATCATCTGCTCATAATTCTCAATTGGTTTGTTCAGGAAGTCTGCATCTTTAGGGTGTGCCTAATATGTATGTGCATCACAAAACTAAGTTAGAACAACATGTAACTCCTATATGAAATGCATTGCAATGTATACAATCTTTAGGTTCACACACACCTGGACATGTCCATTGTAATGCTCTTGCTCAAGGACTATCATGTAGTTCTCCTCATCCTAGTGAGCCCCACTTAATTCTCTCAGCTTTGACACCTTCACCCATCTCTGCCTCCACTTCCTTAGGTGATTATACACCTGAGTACCAGTGACGTCCATGCCAATGTACTCTTTAAGGTCCTTGGCAACCTGGTTAAGGTGGACCTCTTTGAATCCCTTGTCAGTCCTAACCCTAGAAGAAATGAGCTGGACCATGCGGTTAAGCACATAGCCAGACATGACATTT